TAGGAAAGACGTAAGACTTCTTTGTCTTGGATTTATCCTACACTTTCCTACCGTAGGATCCTATCAGATCCTTCATAAGATATTATGGGATCCTGTGTAGGATTTCATAGGATCCTACGTAGGATTTTATAGGATCCTATGTAGGATTTTATGCAGTTTCCTACTACTGGTAGCTTCCTGTTCCCGCCTACAGTTTATTCGGGACCTTCTCGTTCACACTGTGTAATACATCGTATTCTACTATTATATACATCTTTATTGCTCATATCGTCAAATCACATAGAAAAACACACAAAGAAAAAATAGCTAATAACAATTATTGTTTTTCTTAACAAAACTAAGATCTACTAGCTTTCCAGTAAAGCAAAAAAATACTACTTATTAACACAAAAAAGTTGAGAGAGAATTCAAAAACACGTTTTTGAAAAAATTATAACGAAAAACGGTTCGATACATCGAAGTAGTTACTTACAACTACAAACTATTCAGCGAAGTACAGGATACAGGACAAAAAGAGCACCGCAGACAAAGTCGCTGTTTGAGCAGACAAAAAAAATGGTACGAAGAACAAAAGTATCTATGAAAGCGGAAATACTTCTAACTACGTATACAGAAGAAAAAATGAAAGAGCACCCTGTAGATAAAAAAAAATTTTAAGATACAAAAATAAAGTTCGGTTTCTAAATGTAATCCTACTGTACAAATAAAAATTACTTGTAATTTTGTTCAACAAAAATAATGACCAGAACAAAAATATAAAAAAATATACATTTGATGACTGTTCAGAACTGAGAGTAAATGATTAAACAGTAGCTGTTGTCACTTGATCACCTGTTGTTTGTATCTGTCGTTGATATAATTCTCGATTATACTTTTTTCTAACATCACAAATCAATTGTGTGAGTGTACGATGCAAACAATCTGTAAAAAATGTATTCCAATGAGTAGGAGCAATCTGAAATTTTGCACTAACAGCATCTGCAAGAAAAAACAGAAAATAAAACAGAACAATAATGAGTAGCATTAGAATCCTTATTCGGTCGGATATCATACATGCTGGGAGCTATACTTCGCGTGTCTTTTATACAATAAGATCGGTATCTCCGAGTTTTTTCACATTTTGATTGCAGTGAAATACAGTTTCTAGACTGACGTAGCGCAATAATAAAAAAATTTTTATTAGTCAAAAAAATATACGAAGACATGATATTATATATGTCTAACGCTTGAAACTTGATGCTATATGAAAAATTCCGGCAAATAATTTGAACTTACAAGCCTGGATAAAAATGTTTAGTCCTAAGAACACAAATTAACGTACCAAACGCTTCACTTTTCGTAGCATCAAATGTGTCCACGTAGTCTAAATCAAGTTCGTTTAATTCTGAAACAAGTTGAGGTCGCTCATCGGACGAAAGGTTTTCGTTTTGAACTAACATGTCTTGTAAATGTGGATCATCATTCTTGTCCATTATTGCTGTGGTGAAGGCCGACACGTTCTCATGAGCCATGAGCTCATTTTCATCTTTCTTGTTCGATGAATCATTTTTTGTTGTTGCTTGATACGGGGTAATATCATGTGACAGTAGTTTACGATATGTGTAATTGGCTCTTCGTTGTTCTAAACTTTTTCCTTTTTTTCGACGTGCAGCACTGATTAGGTCTTCGACTGAGCTGGGACTGTTCATTTGACCATAACACATCTGAACAACATCTGAAATGAGTGCAATTTTGAAAGTTAAAAATATGTTTTTCTAGTCAAATTCAAAGTCAGAAAGTTAACTCTAAGTTAAATGATGTTTCGGACATCATTTAAGTTTAACTCTCCAGTCATAAATAAGCTAGTAACCAATAATATGGTTCCATTAGACATGGGCGGTGGCATCAGTTCTGTGGAGAAACAAATATCTGACTCTCTACTCAATTTTTCTTTTTGAGCTTAGAAAGGCAACTATAGCACGTAAATTCAAATCGGCCGGCTGTTAGCAAGCCGCAGCCTTTGAGGACACTGAAGCCAGGAAGCAACACAATTTTAACGAAAATGCCGAAACCGGACAACCACCGGTCGTTGCCATGCGCCTTGCTGGTTGCTATCCGGACAGGGAGGAAGTAGGTCCAAAACTCTGACATTCTGTCTGGACGTCCTTTATGGATGTGAAAACAGAACAACATTTCCTTTCTGTGAATATTTTTGATTATTTTCCCTTGACTTTAGTCTAGGGTCTTACAAAGTGGTTGTCTGTGCACGCAAAACACGGAAAAATGGCTGTCAGATATTCTATGGATAAGCCAATCATGAGCGACATCAAATATTTCTTTTTAACCACGCGAGAGAAAATGTTCAAAGAGGTGAGCTGAATATCTACTGATGCAGAGAGCGAAAACCTAAGCAAACGTATTCTGTAGGCCGAAAATAGATGTCGCGAGATAGCAGTCAACGGTGACCAGAGAAGTTCACAGGGTTTCTCAGCTATACTGGCTGCGAACGTCGACCGAAGGGAGGCGAGAGCACTGTTTTGAATCCAGAAGTATTTTTAGATCTCTGGAGATCTTTGCAGGGTCTCGAGAAAACCTTTTAGGTCTACATTAGATTACGAATCTTATGCAAAAAATCAAAGAAAAATTTAGAACATATTTCAGATAGTGCCCTAGCGAACGCACGACCTTAAGTTTTGTCCTAAGTGTGTTTCAGTAAGCACAACTTAAGTATGACTTAACACTTAAGCAAATATCTGACTTAAGTTGAATTATGGCTAAGTTGAACCTATCAAAAGACAAAATCGTTTTGGAGGAGTAGTTTTTTCAATCATGACACACAGGTTCATCCATAGAAACTCATACTTCTATAAGTTTAAGCAATTTGAGCATAATGTTCGAAGTTTTGTACACTGTTTTTAAGAAGGAGCGCACCAAGCGAGAGTAAAGTGTATATGCATTATGTATTTTAGGAATACACCTTAATTTTCCATGGATACACTCTGTAAAAAATAAATTTCAGCTTAGGAAAGTGTAGTCATAGCTTCTGCTACTTCGAATTGTTGCTGAAACACTGACTTTG